AAGGTATCCCAGCAAAACATTATTTGAGCTAACTATTATTAAATATTAAGAAGCAATAAAACTACCAAATTCCAAATTATATACACTAATTTGTTTGTTACAAGTAGGACATGGGAGTCCAAATATGAGCAGAAAATAAACTGACTCAAAAACACAAAAAACTAAACTAAAACTCAACTAAAAACCGCTAAACTACAACAGTGGAAATTAAGTTACAAAATGCAATAAGGTTTGTGGTTATCACTGCAACAATGGATGCATTACATTACATACCAACATATTCCCTTGGTGGAGATTCGCGCCTCTCAGCCCTGCCGGTGATGGGCCTGCCTGGGGCCTTCTCCTCATCTGTGCTGTTGGTTTCCACCATCTCACTCTCCTCTGTGGAAATAACATGCTGCTGTTTGCGGGGCTTCTTCCTCGGGGAAGCCCCTGGGATCAGATCCCCAGTGGCAGGAGTGTTCAGGGTGGAGGCCTGGGTGGTGAGGGTGGGGGCTGATGACAAGTTTGCATTGGGGTCTGTAGGGAAGAGATAACCACAGTGTTTACTTATGTGTATATTTCAGTTTTCTTACATTGATCAGTTCCCTATCATTTTACATTCATTTCACTGATTATCGCTCCTCACCTGGCTGAGAGGTGTCCATGGTCTCCACCTCCTGCTTAATTTTCAAATCTGGGCAGGCGGAGCTGGCAGCACAGGCGGCAGTACTGCTGGCTGCCGGCTGAGTGGGGGAGGCCACAGTGTTGGCCATTGAAGCAGGAACGGGGGGAGTTACAGCCATGGCTGCTGGCAGGGCGGACAGGACAGTGGAGGGCTGGGAAGGAGGTACGGGCCCCGGTGTGGCGAGCATGGTGGGGATGGCTTGGGCAAGGTGCTGAGCGTTTGAGGACACAGCCTGCTGATCTCCTCCCTGAGAGGGCAGTGCTTCTACTGTGGCCATGACAGGAGGGGCCACTGCCATGTGCACCTCAGCTTTGGGTTTCACACTGAGAGGAATTGGAATTGTCAGGTTAAAGACTTGTTTGATAACACATAATGACCGGATGTGAACATGAGTGTAAGTGATGTGATCAATTTGACAAAGGCTCACCCTGCAGGTCGGGGAGATCCTGCTCCTCTCACGCCACTCTCAATTCTACCACTACCAGGTTCACTGGGCTGGGCAGGGATCAGGTTCTTACGAACACAACTGAAACACAGAGAGGAGCAGGTTGGGTTGGTAGAAGGAAACATTAGCCACCCAATTGAATTTTACAAGTGTCGCTTGCTTGATCATTCTTCTCATCCTTAAGCAAGTGTTAAAAAAAGAAGACCAAGTCTCTGAAAAACGTCACTGGAGTGGCGCCAATAGCATCTTACTTGCATGGCTGCTAAGAGCGTGTTAATGTTATTTGAAAACTGCTAATAACTAAAACAATTTGTATAGTAAGAATGTATAGCAAGTAAAAACTGCCTTTGAGCAAGTACATTTGACCCAACGTTAAACCCTGCGATTGTGTAGATAAGAGAGTTTGCTGAATCCAACTGAAAGGCCTCGTAAAAGCAAAACTTATGAGAGTTTATTGTTGCGTGAGGTCTCAGGTAAACTCACCCTTCTGTAGCGGGCTTCTTGCGGAGGATGCTGGGTCTAGGGGAGGAGACCAGGGTGGGAGCTCCTCCTACTCCTCCCTGGGTGTGTGCCTGCACCATGGTGGCTACTGGCTGGGTGGTGCTGAATGTGCTGCTGATGGGGCTAGCTACAAAGCCATCAGCCAAAACAACCCCTATATAAAAAAAAAACATGCATTAGCCATCAACTCAGTGAAGCACTCAGCAACACCATGTTGTTTTTACTGAGGAAGTATGGATCTAGTAGTTACCAGGTTTGGCTTCAGACTGTGCTTGTTGCTGTTGCTGCTGAGTGACTATGGGTGTCTGCTGTATTCCTTGTGTGGTGATTGGTGCAGACGTGTGCAGGCCCTGCACCCCTATTGGTGCAGGCTGAATGCCCTGCGCGGTGATTGGCGCCGGCTGGATCCCTTGAGTGCTGATTTGTGCCGATGGGAGACCGATCCGATCCACTGCCATCAGCTGCATGTGGTTTAGATGGACAGTGGTTGCCACGCCTACTCCCGCCTGGGTGGGGAGGGCTGAACTCGGAGCTTGAGGAGTAACTTATTGAGAGGAAAAACAAAGTTAAAATGAGACCCTCATTCTGTTAACACTTTAACCCTTTAGTTTCACATATCACAGTACAAAGTTTAGCATGTTTTGTCTACATGTCAATCTGCCACAGTCAAATAGCAAAATAGTAAAGGGGATGTGCACAGCCGCTACTACAGCAGTTAGTAGCAACAGCCAATAAAACAACATTTATTCGCAGTGCATACCAGGATACTGACGGATGGTAGATACAGAGCTGCTGATAGGGGTGTAGGTGTGTGTCAGAGGGTACGACGAGGAGTACGCTGGCAGGAAATACTGGAACTGCACAGGTACAGAAGGCCTTAAAAAGAAGACATGTAAGATTAACATTTTATTTCTTGAATGTGAATACAAGACATGGATCTCAAGGCTCATCCCTTGTTTTATTCAATTCTAGGGTCGGTTGGTCCAAACTACTGCTGGGTGGATTGCCATGAAACTTCCTCAATATGATTTATAATGATTTTAGATGATCCCCTCATTTTTCAACTAGTGCCATCATCAGGTCAACACTTTAATTTGTGAACTCATGCAAACACGCTAAACTAAGACAGTGAACCCTGTAAACATATACCGCTAAACATCAGCAAGTTAACATGCCTAGTCATTATTTCCAGGTCAACATGTCAACCTCTGATTAGATAACTACAGCTGCTTAATATGTACAACTTTGCTGTTTCTGTTTTGCCCAAAGTGGCCCAATTTGTTGGTCAAAGCAACAAGTAGGCAGTGTGACAGAGCTTTAACTCTCTTCTCTAAGAGAAAATAACTCTCTTGTGTTTGTAGTAGGTAAAACAAACAAAAATAGATAGCTGTTGTGAATATTCACGTAAGTTGAGAAGGCAGATTCTCCTCAGTTATTTTCTTACAGACACTATGGCTGTGAACTTCTCACCTGTTGTCACTTCTTGCTTCCATGGTGACAGGGTTAGGAGAGGACCGATGGCCCGGCATAGGGATGAGGTTGGTTCTCTCTCCAGGATAATCGGGCTGCACACGGGGTGAAGAGTGGGCGATGGGCTGAGGGACCACTTTAGCTGTGAACAACACCAGGAATGGTTAAGAAAAATATTTTGTAAAACATACTATGAATTGATTTAGATTAAAATGACGCTGCCTGCTTATGAAGCACACAACAATGTCCTGACCAAAGAGAGAAAATGACCAACTTACCAACAGGGATGGTAGAGGTGGTCACTGCTGTAGCATGAGAGGAGTGTGAGGCCATTGTCATGGTTACAATAGTGTTACTGGCCATTTGGGTGTGTGACACGGTGCCTAAACATTAAGAAGAAATGATTATCAATATTAGTATAAGAACAGCCACCCAGTTACATTTTAAAACAACACTTTGTCTAGCTTGTAGATATTAATATACAAAAAGTCAATACCTATTGTGGTGGTTGATGGCACAGTGTTAGTGGCAACAATTGGTGCCACAGTTGCTGCAGCTACTGGTGTCACAGGACTAAAGATGGGCTTCTTTGGGGAACAAAAATAAGAACAATTATTTCAGTCGCTGTGTCAAATGACTACACAAAATTGTTGTAGGCAGTGAAGAAGCAGTAACCTGTGTCATGGTGTGTGGAGGCTGAGGCTTTTGAGCCCCAATTGCAGGGTGAGATGGCAGAGTGATCCGTGTGGCAGTGTCACGGGATGTTTGAGACCTCTGAATACTGACGGGTTGAGGGGAGTGAATGGTCAGCCCCGGACGCCTGAAAGAAAATATTACTGCATCAAATCAGGCACAGGCAAACTTGGATTAAAGGCCAGAGGGAATGGTTCTCAGTTTTTAATGATCGTTCTCTTTGTTTTATCCATGATGGTCAATTGAGTTACCATAAAGGATACAGTAAGGTTTTGTACGTGGGGTGACAATTCTTTCAACAACTATGCACTGCACTGGATAAAGTCCTTAGGCCACAATCCGACTACAAATAGCACTACATTAAAGAACATAAATGGCTGTTAAGGACGTAAAAGGATAATAGAAAAAATATAGCTTTCGATGTAGTCACATCAGGAGTGGTTCCCATGTCTGATTAGAGCAAACTGCTTTGTTTTACTTTGCTGTAAAACTCTTTGCCATCAAATTAAATAGTAGCTGACTTATTATTAGAGTTGTTCCGATTCCGATACCAGTATCGGAAATGTCTCCGATACTGCCGAAAATGCTGGCATCGGTATCGGCGAGTACTGGAGTCCAGGCACCGATCCGATACCACGTAATTTATTAAATTAGTAATCTATTTACTGGTTAGCTCCGTTAAGCTCT